ACGCTCAGTTCATAACGGGTGTCAATCTTGTGATCGATGGCGGACTCGTCTATAATATGACTCCACTTTAAAATACAATCACTTTATAAGACATTAGAAATTCATTCACTAAAACAAATCTTTTATTTAAATTTTTGTTATTTTTGTTAATACATAGCAACCAGTGTTGTAGTTAGTTGCTAAATATAATGCATAAATTGCTATATTGATTCAATCATGATAAAATTAAAAATAAAATAATATTTCTATCATTGTATTTCGATTTTAAATAAATATTTATTATATAATATAGTAATTTAGTAATTAAAAATTAATTAATTTTAAAATATCCGACAGCAGTATAATTATTTTAGTAGAGTTTGAAAATTGTAATTGTTTTGTTAAATTAACTCAATTAATTATGGATCAAAATTTATTAAATTATGTTTTTAACTGACAAGTGGTCTACATTATTTTAGTATTTTGTATAAATCAAACGAATTTTATATAGTTACTATATTTAAACGCTATAATTAGATTTATCAATGTACATCTATGATGCTATTGCACTAAACTATTTATCAAATGGATTACCTTGATATAATCACGGAGCTGTCAATCAATCTGATGAATCAAAAATTATGATTAACCTTAAGAATAGCCAATATATTCAATAGTTTCCTTATTCAAAATAAAAAAGTGCATCAGGTACAAAAACAATTAAATAAAATTCACAATAGAAAACCCTATATAAAGCGCTTGTATTATACAAATACAATTAATTTAACAAATTCTCTATTTTCAAAACGAATTTATTTAAAACTAATAATTCTTGTAATTTTACTTAACTAATTAGAAATTAATTTTAAAACATTATCTTTAACGATGAAGTTTATTTTATTATTAGCATTTGTTTCAATAGTAAACGCTAAAAATATTTATGATTTTGATATCAAAGACTACGAAGAGGTGAAGAACTCGCGAAACTTTACGGGAAAAGTAGTTTTGGTGACCGGAAGTAGTTCTGGTATTGGGGAGGGAATCGTCAAACTGTTCGCTATATTGGGGGCTAAAGTAGTGATCAATGGTTTGAATGCAACCAAAGTTGAGAGTGTGGCCAAAGAAGTGGAACAACTGTCGCCTCAAAAAATTAAGGTAAATCGTACTGGGTCATCAATAGTGGCACAGTCGTGACCAACAGTGTCAGGTCTGCGATAGTCAAGTGATCTGCCGTCACATACCTCTTATCGCCGATCAATTGGTCCGTAAGTTTCAAATTAGTCTTCAGTGCTGTGATCTTGTCTTCGGGCGGATTCACACCACAGAAAGCCTTTTGTATCGATTTTATGGACAAATATATCATTAATAGTTAAATAATATCATTATTTAATATGACATACCACTCCAGATTTCATGGACTCCATGAGCGATGTGTCATAATTGAGCCACCGGTCCACTATAGCCCGCTTTTTGGGGTCCCGCGGGTATAGAGTAGAGTCGGGACCGTATTTGTTGCACAAGTACTGCATAACCGCCCGACTCTCCCATAACACAAACCCCTCGTCCACTATAGTCGGGATCTTATGACTCGGATTCAACTTTTGGATAAAAAATTTCAAAATCATTAGATTTTAATTTATTTTCGGATACTTTTTATTTGTATCATTTATTCTAAAATTCATATTCTCATAGATATTAATTTAATCAACAAACATAAAACATTTTAAACTAATAACTAAGCGGTTTTAACATTTTTATTTATTAAGCGTTAATAGAGTATTAAATTTATATAAGTTGCAAACAAACTTATCATTAAAATGAATAAATATATAAAACTATCAGTTAATATACTTTTTATACGTGTATTTTAATTAGAGACATACCTTAAGAAATTGCGGCTTCAACTGATCCCCAGCGCCGGCATCTATTTCAATGACATTCAGCTCAATGTTGAGCTCCCGGGCAGTCATGAGGACAGACCTACAGAAAGGACTAATATATATATGGATATTATAAAATTACCATTGTTAAAACTATAATAATGGATTTTATCAATTCAACAAATTTTTATAATTGTTGGTCAACATTTTATATTATATTATTATTTTTTAAAGTTTTATCTTATGAAATATTAATTTTCATAATAATATATATAATTATCCTTACTAAGTTATTGGTTTTCAGCAATTTGAAAAATATAGAAAATAATATTTTTATTCTTGCATGTATGATTAACTTTAAAAAATCAATAATATTTTACCAGTTTACCACCAAGGTAAATGTAAGATTAATCTTGTATAACAGGCAGTTTAATTTGTTCAAATTTACAAGAGGGTGACTTAATTTCCATTTCAATAAGTAATCTCGAATTAACGTTGACCATTTTTAGCATATTATCTTATCATAATTATACATTAAATATATGTCAAAACTTAGTTATATTAAATATACAATGTTAAATTTTATTTATATATTCAAATTAATATTAACGTTATTATAAAAATTTTCATATTAAACTACAATCAAATTAATCAATTAGTGAAATAAGAAAACAATTAAATGTTAAAAATAGTGCATTAATTGGAGGGAAAAAGCATAAAATATTTTCATATAATTGCATTAAAAACCTCCAGTAAAATCTTGGTTAAATATGAATAATAATACTAATAATGAATTATATTGAATATCAAGTTAAAATGAGAATATCAGATTGATAGTTCTTGGGTGATTTGACCTACAGGATTTTGGACACAATAATTTTGACGAGAAATTCTATAAAATAATGTTAAAACGTGTAAATAGAATATAATTGAGCTAGTTAAAATAATTTTAAAGAATGATTGATTGTCATTTAATAATTGGAGAGAAGCAAGGTTAATCTAACAATTAAGCAATTTTCTCGATTCCGACAAAAATACGCTTGGGGTACATTATTTTAATGGATCGTTGGTATTGCAACGGGACATCCGTTTTGGGAGTCTTGAAGAACTGGTACTTCAACACAATATGAGCCAAACATGTCTTGATCTGAAGCAACGCGAATCGCATACTAACGCAATTACGAGGACCGCCCCCGAAGGGCAGGAATGTATAAGGCTTAATAAGGTGCCTATTCTCGGGCATAAACCTATCAGGATCAAACTTAAACGGGTCCGGATAATACTCATCGGACAGGTGTATGGCGTATGTGGGGATTTCTATCTGTTGTCCAGCCTTCAAGGTAATACCCGTATCGCCTAAACGATAGTCAACGGACGGGTATCTAAATAGTGATATAGGTGAGAAGTGTCTGCGCAGGATCTCTGACACGACGGCATCTAAATAGGGTAGTCGTGCCAACACATCGTACGGCATTTCACCGTTTGTGGCGCTGATAGCGTCTGTAATCTCGTCGCGTAGGCGGCGCTGATAGTCAGGGTTTAGGGCGAACTCGTATGCCGTGAACGCTAGTAACGATGAAGTGGCCGAAAACCCTCCCGACATGAGTACGAAGGCCTGGGAGACAATCTCGTCTTCCGTCAGCCGTTTGTTCCTAATCTTAATGTCCATCACTTTTCGCTCGACGGCTAACGATTCCTCGCCTTTTAAAGCATTTTATTTTACGTTAAATTTTTTAATTAAAAATTATGTTTATTAAATATAATAATAATAATAATAATAATATTACTTTTATTAACAAAACTGTAATGTCATTTTTATAAAATTCATTTTTTTGAATTTTTAAAATATGCTTTCATATCACCTAGCATTTATATTCTAAAAATTATTATACATATGAAGATACATATTATTCTAGATCTTGACAGACCTGGGTCCAAAAATTAAGGGCCTCGACCTGCATCTAACTCATGCTACAATCGTAATTTTTAAATGAATATTAAACTCAATTATAATCACATTATTTGATATGAAACTCAATTTTAGTACTCAAACATACAGTGGTATTCATAAACAAATTGGATTTGAATCTGAGCTGGACCTTACATTGCATGTTAGCCCACTTAACTAATCTCATTTAACAAAACCATCTTAACTCTTTATTTTAAAATTATCTTAAATTCAGTCCGATGTGAGCCCATACACTTTCATAGGGGAAGCCTACTTACAGGGATAAGTTTGATCGGTATGAGACTTGAATTTTTAAGATTTACAGTGGTATTCATAAACAATTTGGATTTTAATCTGAGCTGGACCTTACATTGCATCTTAGCCCACTTAACTAATCCCATTTCATAAAACCATCTTAACTCTTTATTTTAACAATATCTTAAATTCAGTCCGATGTGAGCCCATACACTTTCATAGGGGAAGCCTACTTACAGGGATAAGTTTGATCGGTATGAGACTTAAATTTTTAAGATTTAGACGTTGTTTTAAGGTGCAGCTCAGATTAAATGCGTTTCATAAACGAGCTGAGCAATTACTTAAAATGTGAGACCTAGCTAAGACTTAAGTCGACACTATGAATACCACTGTTATACTATAATTTTTTTATAATATAATAATAAAATATGTCAAAAATGTTTTAAAATAAAATATTTTACATTATTTCACTATAATAGACTATTATAGTATATTATTAATAGTATATTATACTAATATTTATTAAAGCCTTGATACAATTAATTATAAGTAATGTAAGTCTATTCAGAGATGAGTCACTTCGAGTCTCTGGCATTCATATGCATTATGAAATTGGGTGTAATTTATGATTTTTGACTTGCAGTATTATATTTGAATATTTAAAAATAATAGAAAATTTATTTTAAAAATTCAACTTGTTAACAATTCAGTAAATAAAGTCAAAAATCACACTAAATCACGGTAGTATTCTCTGTAATGGATTAGTTAGAAATTAATAATTTACTTAAATAGCGATCTTAACTTAATTCAAATATAACATTATTTTAACTTACATTATAATATGTATTAGTCATAACCATAGGGGCTAGACATTTAGCTCATAAACTCATTATCAATATTGTATTTTTAATCATAACGCCCCTATGGTTATGACTTATACATTTCAATAATAAAACCAATAAATTTTCAAACGTTTATATTTTTCTGGGACTGATACTATAGTTTTAATTGAATTATTTTGCATGAATGGCCAAGGGCAATTACCTTAATAATACAGCGTTACATAAAACTTGATGTGTACGTTATGATAAGCCATTGCGTTATTTTAAAAAACAAATAAGTTTAAGATTGTTTGAATTGGTTGTAAGTACTGAATGCGGAGTTATTCCGAAGGGTTTGCAAATTGGTTGAGTTGTGTGACGGCAATACATAATAGACTGGATACAAATTGGAGGAGATACTAAATAATTCAAAATTAAATTTGTATACACGGTGTAAAACTCATTTTTGAATAATTCAATTCTATTAATAATATTTATAGAAATTGGTTATAATTGACAAACAAATATTTCTATTATTAATATTATAGATGTCTAAAGTGTAGTCGTATCAATATTTATGTAAGTACAGCAGTTTTGAAGTAGTACTGAATTGTACCTGACAAAATATCAGCTTATTATCAGTCATTGTTTGTGAATTTTTGTTTTAAACACAGATGTTTTGTTTGTATATAATCCAGTTAATGTATTAAATTTAGTTATATCAATAGGTTAATAGTTATTCATAATAATTATAATTACTAATTATTAATAATGAAATTCATATTACTGTTAGCATTACTTTCAATAGTGAATGCAATTGATTTCAATGATTTCGATATCAAAGACTACGAAGACGTGAAAAACTCGCGAAACTTTACGGGAAAAGTAGTTTTGGTGACCGGAAGTAGTTCTGGAATCGGGGAGGGAATCGTCAAACTGTTCTCTATATTAGGCGCTAATGTTGTGGTCACCGGTAGGAAAGAGGCGGACGTTCATCGAGTGGCACAAGAAATAGAAACATTATCGCCGTATAAGATCAAGGTATTAATTATGATAAATGATAGTCATATATAATGAAATAATAAAATAATAACTAACGGGTGTTCGGCGAATAACGCCGGATTTGAAATTGCGATTACTTAAAAACTTAAAAACTACAAATGACATTTTAATCTAGTCAAAAGGAAAATAATCAGAAATATATAGGGTTTTGTTATTTATATTTTTCAAACTTTTGAAGTTATAAGGAGGATAGACAAATTTTCTAAATTAAAAACTATTCAATATTCTTTAAATCTGATTAAAGGACTGAATTCCTCTCAAAAAATTAACAAGAATATCATTTTTAATTTTTAAAATATCTCAAGAAATAACTGCTCTGGGACATGTCAAAGTAATCGTTTTTTGCGATATTCTTATCATTTGTAATGTTGATACATAGAAAATATTGCAACTTGAACGTGCTCCAGCGCAGTTATTTCTTGAGATATTTTAAAAATTAAGAATGATATTCTTGTTAATTTTTTGAGAGGAATTTAGTCCTTTAATCAGATTTAAAGAATAATGAATAGTTTTTAATTTAGAAAATTTCTCTATCCTCCTTATAACTTCAAATGTTTGAAAAATATAAATAACAAAACCCTATATATTTCTGATTATTTTCCTTTTGACTAGATTAAAATGTCATTTGTAGTTTTTAAATAATCGCAATTTCAAATCCGGCGTTATTCGTTGAACACCCGTTATTTTAAAGCCATTAGAAATTGTGGCAGATTTGACTAAATCGGAAGACATAACCAAATTAGTGGATCAGACCATTAAGAGGTTCGGGAAGTTGGATGTGTTGGTCAACAACGCCGGTATCGGTTTAGGCACTCGTATTGGAGACAAAAAATTGTTGGAGGCTTGGGATCAGGTGTTTGGAGTGGACGTGAGGGCTGTGGTTGAAGTGATTCACACAGCACTTCCATACCTCGAGAAGACTAACGGCACTATAATTGATACGTCGAGTGTAGCAGGCACAATACCGGTAAGTTTATAAACAAACATAATTATAGTTTTTAATATATTTTGAAAACCCAATCAAAGATGATCGGATCGTTAGCCTATAATAGCGCCAAAGCGGCCCTCAATATGTTGGCTAAAGTACTGGCACTAGAATTGGGTCCCAAAGGTATTCGAGTCAATACTATTAGGTAAGTAAAGTGCAATAGTTATTGAGGTTTAATAATATATATTTAAATTTATTTAATATATATACGAATACCGTAGTCCGGGCTATACTGAGGTGGACAGCCATTTTCTTCCGCCGGACTATAAGAAAGTAATTGAGAGACAGACACCTCTTAGACGTATTGGACAGCCGTTGGATATGGCGAAAGCCGTTGCATTCCTGGCCTCAAGTGATGCTCAGTTTATAACCGGTGCTGAATTGGTGGTCGACGGCGGACTCATATATAACTTTCCGAACCAATAAAACTGTTCAATGTCATTTATAATTGTTTCAACATGATTTAATTTTTGTTCTTTATAAAATAATGTACTGTACATGTATTTTCAATTATTAAAATAAGATACAACTAAAATAATAAATTGTGAACTGGACAAAATAAAAAAGATAATTATTAGAAGTTATTATTATTAATAAATTTTGAAAATTTAATTTATCTTAATCTAACTTTTAATAAATTCTATAAAGAGATCCTATTTAAATAATTTACTAATCAATTTGCTGATCATCAATAGATAAGTTGTATTTGCACATTTCAACAAGGTACGAATAAACTTGATTTTGAGGTCATTTTCAAAAATACTCATTCACTTTGTTTTATCACTTTTGTGGGAATTTTATGGTTTAACCACAGATGTATTAAGTGTATATAACCCAGTTGTTTTAATGAAATTATTATTGTAGTAGATTAATAAATTATTAGTAAAAATATAATTATTAATTTAATTGACTAACTATTTAATTAATAATGAAATTCATATTACTGTTAGCATTACTTTCAATAGTGAATGCAATTGATTTCAATGATTTCGATATCAAAGACTACGAAGAGGTGAAGAACTCGCGAAACTTTACGGGAAAAGTAGTTTTGGTGACCGGAAGTAGTTCTGGTATTGGGGAGGGAATCGCCAAACTGTTCGCTATATTGGGGGCCAATGTTGTGGTGACCGCCAGAAAAGAGGCTGACGTTCATAAAGTGGGACAAGAATTGGAGCAATTATCTCCGTATAAGATCAAGGTAATAATTGCTATAGGTAGAAAATACAAACATATGGTCAGAAATAATAAAATTAACTAAATTTTAAAGCCATTAGAAGTTGTGGCGGATGTGACTAAATCTGAAGACATCACCAAATTAGTGGATCAGACCATTAAGAGGTTCGGGAAGTTGGATGTGTTGGTCAACAATGCCGGCGGCGGTGTCTCCNATCAGACCATTAAGAGGTTCGGGAAGTTGGATGTGTTGGTCAACAATGCCGGCGGCGGTGTCTCCACTCGTATAGAAGACAAGAATTTGTTGGAGGCCTGGGATCAGGTGTTTGGGTTGGACTTGAGGGCTGTGGTTGAACTGATTCACACAGCACTTCCATACCTCGAGAAGACAAACGGCACTATAATTGATACGTCGAGTATAGCGGGTACAGCACCGGTAGGTTTTTATCACTAAACAATTATATTAACTATTATTTATAAAACATATTCGTATACTGTTTTAGGTGATCGGGCTGTTAGCGTATAATAGCGCCAAAGCGGGTCTCAATATGTTGGCTAAAGTACTGGCCCTTGAATTGGGTCCCAAAGGCATTCGAGTGAACACTATTAGGTAAATATAAGATAATAATTATAAAGATATACAATAGTAATTAAATGGTTGCATAGCCCGGGCTATACTGAAGTGGACTCTCATTCAATGCCTATCGAGCAAAAAAAATTAATTGAGAAACAGACACCTCTTAGACGTATTGGACAGCCGTTGGATATGGCGAAAGCCGTTGCATTCCTGGCCTCAAGTGATGCCCAGTTTATAACAGGCGCTGAATTGGTGGTCGACGGCGGCATTGTCTACAATTTGCCAAACAAACTATAAAACTATAGACATTGTGATCAACTAATTATATTGAATTGAAATTAATTGGTTGTTTGTTAACATTTTAATTAATAAACTAAAATAGCATTACACCAAAAACTTGTTACTAATTATCTTAAGTTACATATTAGTACAAACAATTGTGATGTACTTAATTGTATTTGATAATTTAATAGTGATAAAATTCTAACTGTGTGAAAAGTGTTATCGATATATTGTAATTAATTTATATAAGTGTCTAATTTCAAAACACTTATACAATATAAACTTAATTTAGATAATCAGCAAAATAAGCACAGTATGTGGGTCTTAAGAGTTTGTATATTGTCGGCACCAATAAACTTCAATTAAGATTAAAATCTAATTAATGTTATACACAATTTAATAAGTGTTTAATATAGGAGGGGTCATTTTCAAAAACAATTTATAACGGCCAATTACTCTTAAAATATATCGTTAAGTGAATTATTATAATTGATTAGAAATATTGTGGGTATATAACATTGATTTCATTATTTTCATAACTGAATTGAGTGTCAAATTCAATGTGAATGAAAATGAAATTTATATTATTATTAGCGCTGTTTTCTATAGGAAATGCAATTGATTTCAATGATTTTGATATTAAAGACTACGAAGACGTGAAAAACTCGCGAAACTTTACGGGAAAAGTAGTTTTGGTGACCGGAAGTAGTTCTGGTATTGGGGAGGGAATCGTCAAACTGTTCTCCATATTAGGCGCTCATGTGGTGGTCACCGGTAGGAAAGCCGATGAAGTCCACAAAGTGGCACAAGAAGTGCAACAGTTATCACCCAATAAACTAAAGGTATAATTAAATACAAAGTATAAACAAATATAAATTATAATTATTATGTATTATAATGAATAGCCATTAGAAGTGATCGGAGATCTGACAAAGACTGAGGATATGACCAGACTTTTGGACGAAACGATTAAAACATTTGGAAAATTAGATGTTTTGGTGAATAATGCGGGCATTTATTTCACTACAAATATCACTGAAAAGGATTTGCTCACAAAATGGGATCAGATTTTTAGCGTAGACTTAAGAGCTGTCGTACAACTCATTCACCAATCGGTGCCATATTTGGAGGAAACAAACGGAACAGTTATAGACATCTCGAGTATTGAGGGCACTCGTCCTGTAAGTGCTGATTGTAAACTGATCT